ATCCAGCACGACATTTACACGACGACGAAATTCGTTGTCGACGACGAGAGGATCATCGGTGACGCCCGTTTTCTTTTTCAAACGAAACGCCGCCTGAATATTTTTAATTCCCTTTTTTCAGACCCCACAAGATTATATTACCGATTGGTTGCAACCTTTATAATGGTACTCTGTGCATTCTGTGGCGTTTCGATGTTTCAATTATTTATAAGCGACTATTTTGTGTCGGTTGCAACAATAACAGTAACAGTATAGTTTGAAATTGTGCAAGATAAAATCGCTTTGATTTACTGCAGTTGTTATCTAAAATAAGATATTTCAGTCATTAAAAGTATTGATAAATATTGTTAATACAACACAAAACCATTTCCAGATTTTTAAATTATGAAACAGAAATAGATAACTATAATCATCTAAATAATGAAATATTGAAATATTGAAGCTTCACCATGATTCATTGATATATCAATTATTGATGATTTTGATTGATTTTTTGCATTAAGGCAATACAATTTCTTAAAAAAAAAATGATAAGAAAAAGATTCTCTTTTTCTTCATTCTTTAATTATCTCTAAAATGAAAAGTTATGAATCGAAAAATTATCTCTTGTAATAAATCCTTTCTTCGCAATCTTATATATTATTTTTCATAACATATTCGCATAAGAATATGTTATGAAAAATAATATATAAGAACGCAAAGAGAAAATTTATTACAAAAAATAGTTTAATTCATAACACTTTTGAGTTTTAATAATTAAAGAATGAAGATATACATATATGTATATATTTTCCGGATCTTATATTCTTATATATTTTCACAAAGATATTCTTATATATACTTATTATTTTCACAAATCGAGTTTAACGTGGACATTAATCCACGTGTAATTTCAAAATACAAACTGGTCCGCGAGAATGTTAATGGACAAGTTTTCCCCATGCGTGGGTGGGTAGGAGATATTGGTGATGTGTGAAACATTCCGACCCAATTACTTCGCCGATTGCTCTCTCTATCTCTACTTTTCGTTTCAATTCTATTTTTCCGCACTCCCACGCACGCGGTCCGAAACCACCTGTTTGGCAGGAGATCAAGCCGTCGCGGCGACACTTTTTTTCGGCAGATCCGAGGAGGAAAAAATCGATAGGGGATTCTGAGTCACAGTTTGTCGATCGCGCATTCCCGTTTTTATCGTGTAGTATCGTGTAACCGGCAATCTGATACTTTTCCCAAAACGACACACCCGAGTAACACGTTAAAGGGATGCTCTCTCTATTTCGGTACTAGGTATATAAAATTAAAAAATAGATACAATACTCTAAAAACATGTCACATAAACGTGTTATGGCGAAATCATTAAAAGTTCCAACGAAAGAGTGATACTCTTACGATTGATCGTAAACGGGCTATTTTATGATCGCTCGCCATTGCTATTTATACGATACGTTTATGGATCTGTTCATATTTTTACGCCTATATTAAATTCAAGCAGGAACTTTTACTTTAATGAGTTTTATACGAAAAAGTGTAGTAAACGCGATTTATTTGATCAGTCCAATCTAAAACAAAAGTAATGAACTTTCAAATTTAATTCAAAACATTATATATCCTTAATGCATTATTTGTACTGATAAAACAATGATTATATATCAATATTTGTCTCATCTTAAAAAGGTTGCTTTCTTAACAATTGTTAAAAAAACCATTGTTTCTCTTCCCGTGATTTGAATAAAAATATGTTCACAGTCCTTTACTAGATCGTTTCGATTGATCATCATCGATTATTCATAAAAATATGCGACTCGAACGTTTTCCTGAAAAATAAATTCTCGCCGAGTATTTTCGTGACCGTCGTCCGCAATGGCCGCAGTGAATGCGACATCAACAATTTAACACGGAGAATAAAGCTGACTTTAACGAAATGTCTGCCCGCATTGCAGCTTCCCCGTTCCTCCCGCGATCGAAAAATGGTTCCGCGAGGAAAAGCTCGTTCGGAATTCGCGGCGAACTATATCGATCCTTCTTCGTTTCCCCGCGCGAATCGAAGCTACAGGATCTTCCAGAAATACTCGTAAAAGGAAGACGGCAAGAAGACGAGGAAGAAGTGTCCAAGGGGCGGAGATGTCATCGAGAAGATCGGCGACTGGGTGAGAGAATCTCATACCATGAGCGACGAGGAGAGCAGGATGAAGAAATTCGGGGAAGAAGAAAGAAAGACGAAGAGAAAGAGTAGACGGGCGTATCGTAGAAAAGTTGCACCCGGCACACTGCATCGAGATCTCAAGAGAAGGAGAGGCTACAGAAAGAGAGAGAGAGAGAGAGATGCAGGAACAGAAGGGTGGAGGAGGGAGAAGAGTTGTCGGACGACAGGGAGGAGGGTGTGGAAGGACGACGGGGAGGAAAGGGTGGCGAAGGGGAGGACGCGGCGGGCGCGCGCGGCGCGTTTCTGGAGTCGTCGGGACGCCGAAAATAGCGTCCCGATATGATGACGCCCGGAGAGCGGACCGATCCTAGATTTCAGTCAGTCAGTTCGCAAGCTCGAAAGCCGCTGAGCAGCAGTAAGCCCCGGACCAGTGGTCTCGCTGCTCCGATTACTTTTTCCAAACCGACGTCGAAAAACTCGCGGATTCTCTCGATCTTTTTCACCTCTCTCTCTCTCTCTCTCTCTCTTTCTTTCTTTCCTTTTCCCTTTCGAGAAAGCCACCCAAACACAACAATCCTCAGTCGATCTTACCGCTTAGAAGAGAGAGATCACATTGTGACGGAGAAGACGGAAAATAGTAAAACACAGAGATGGCGGACGTAGACAGTGTAGTGTACACGACCACCGAGCGCAAGGTGCGCAAAGTGAAGAAGACGAGCAAGCGTCGGGAGAGCCAAGACCAGAACGCGTCGGAGGTCACGATCACGGAGGTCGACAGCACGCAGAACAATCACCACGCCATCGAAGAGTATGTGCTGGCTGATGATATAGTCCGGCAGACCCGCAAAGCCTCTTTATCATTTCTTCTTCTTTCTTGCTCCTCTTAACGGCGGTCCGTCGTCGTCGTCATCGTGATTACCGGTCGACCCGCTCGCGATCCACATCCTTCAAGAACGGGATCCTGAGAGCGTTAGCCCCCAAACACCGCGATAACGATATAGTGATTGTAGCTTAAACAACGTAAATATTCGCGGTTGCGCTTCAAGCTTGAAGCTCAGCTTGGTAAAGTGAATCTTTTTCTTCGATAAGTAAGATTACGATCTACAAAATGATAAAGAACTATCAAAAAATAATGAACTTTCTAATTTTAGGAAACTGTACTCGAAATTGGTATAATCTTGATAATTTAAATATTTGATATTACAAACGCGGGAAAAAATTGCATTCACAGCAATCGTCGCATTTCCATCAATACGAATAAATATAGGGAGCATTTTCATGAAGTATCAAAATATGATCTTATAAAAATTATATCGATCTTAATTTAATTCAATTTTATTTAATCTCTCTTTTTCTCTCTCTCTCTCTCTCTCGCTCTCTCGTGCTCTTTAAAGTTAATTGCATAAATTACTACAACCGTATTGCGTGGAAATTGAAGTAAGCAATATATTTCTGCAGTTTTCCCGTTTCGATTGTACCTAAAAGCGCAATTAATCTCGTAAACACTCTTCCTCACCCGGTTCGCTCGTAACAAACTCGAAGCGATTTACGAGCAGCCAAAAATACTCGTGAATAAAGAAAGATTAACTTTGGACACCGCGTTTCTATCTCGTCACGCAAGGATCACGCTTCCCATATCTAAAACGATATCACTCGCCGAGAATAATTTCCTCCGGATGTCCTCTGACATTTCGTGACTTCAAGCCATAATTTCGATACGTACTTGCCACATCCAGGCACTTCAGGAACTCGAGAAGAAGAAAGATGTTCTATTTTCATAAAATCATATATATCTTTTTTATCAGCCTTTAAAAAATCATTATTTATTGCTTGTAAAGTATTTATTTTATAATGAGTGTGTAATAGAAATGATTCCAATTTTTTTTCTGCAAAAATTAATGGTTTTGCCAAGACTGATAAAACATATATAGGCGTCCTTAAGAAAGCAAAAAAGAACACTCGGTTGATTCGCGCGACAAAAAGCGATCGAGACAAGATTTGTACAGTCATACGCATGTCACGATAGATATGACTTTGTACAGAAATACTCAGCCAGCACATACAACAGCACTCATCCAAGGTACATATTACCAGCACGAACCAACGATTCCGTTCGCCATAATCGCGCACAATCGAGAAAGCCGATCGAAGAACTCTCGACTAGACAGCAAAACGATAGGAAAACACAATGAGAGAAGCATGCGATTTCCTTACCGTGCTATCTCCGGAATTCTTGGACGTTTTCACGCGTCGTTTCCTTTAAAATTGTGAGAAAACGTCTTGAGAGACGACTACCGTGTGTGACTTTTCCTCTCAATGTATGCCATCAAATTTCCACAACTAGGTGTGGAAACGTAGTCTGCTAAAAATATGTATCAAAAATTTAATTTAGATATAATTCTAACGATTAGACTTCACGAATTTTTCGGACAAATTAACTTGCAGTAGATTAGTGTTTAACCCGTAATTAAAATTTATACTTCTTCGAGAAGAGTCATAATTAGTATATAAATCTAACATAAAAGCAAATTTTTTAAAATCGAAATTTGACAAATATTGTATGATAAGCATAAAATTATTGATATCAACATTGCATATTTAGTATCACAATTAATATCATAATAAAGTTGTCGTATATTAAGTATTCTCTTTCTTAAAATAAAGCGAAATGTGATTCACATAAAGATAAACATACAAAGCAATCACAAATTACTCAAATTTGAAGAATATTAAACACATGGTTCGATTCAGAATTAAATTTGATACAAAATAATCGATCAATGTAAAAGTTCTAAAATTGATTTTTTACAAATACTTGTGTATCGTGAATTCTAAACGCTTGGTATTCGCATTGCAGTTGATTTTCAGTGGCGAATACACAAAGGCGATGAACAAGGATTGGCATAGCGGCCATTTCTGTTGCTGGCAGTGCGACGAATCCCTAACAGGACAGCGTTACGTTCTCAGAGACGAGCATCCTTACTGCATCAAGTGCTACGAGAGCGTATTCGCCAATGGCTGCGAGGAATGCAGCAAAATCATCGGCATTGACTCCAAGGTAGATATTTCTCTATCATATGAAAAGTATTTTATATGTGATTCGTTGAAACTCGGGTCTCTTTACATTTATTTTAAAAAATCTGAATTTTTTTCTTGGATGAATTAATTTTGAAAAAAAAAAAAAATTTGTTTGATACTAAATAATTTCAATCGTGTCTAATATAATGTGACAATAGCACAATGAATGATTTGAGTACTCTTTTATATTATATATAAAAATAATATTTATTCCAATGAACGCGACTAAGTTCAAAATCGCTCGTAAAATTGTGTGTCCTTCTTAACGTTCTTCAGCCTAAGTTATACACTTTGACGCGTACGCGAACAATAAATTATTTCGACGTCCGTTGTACAGCCCAAAGACGCAATTAGCGGCCGTCGAATGATTACGAGACCAGGTGTCAATAGATGGAGAGGCATGGGCGTTGACTTACTCATTTCTAGAAATAGAAGCGATGATGCAGGTGCCGGGTACTCGTGTATCGGCTTCGAGCGCCGATTTCCGCTCTCTCTCTCTCTCGCACGCGCGATCGTCATTATTATAATAATATTTCGTTCGCTCCTACGCGCAAAAAATCATCGACCCATAGCAGGCAAGTGAGGACACGTTACTATCCTCGTGATCATCATCACCGCGTATTATGTGATTATGTAATTTACATGATTAATAATTTTCGCGAGAGATATCGCAGCATCCGCAACGGTTTCCGTTGAAATTATTAACTTTATCGAGATACGGTGATGTACGTGATACTACGTACTTAAGAAAGGTTAATTAAATCCTGCAATATATCATTTTAATCGCAAAGAGATTTCTGCGATTTTAACTCTTGTTTGCAATCTATGTCATTCTGAACGGGCGAACAATTTTTTTGAGATCAGATACATTTGACAAAAGAGACTATTGTATAATAGTAACTGATTTTCAATAATTAGGGAAGTTACATATATATATAATAAAAATTAAAAAGAAATAAATTTAAATTGGAAAAGAAAAAAAAAAGATTATTATGATCAAATATCTGTCCTCGTTTTCAGGATCTGTCATATAAGGACAAGCATTGGCATGAAGCCTGCTTCCTCTGCAATAAGTGCAGAGTGTCTTTGGTGGACAAACAGTTTGGTAGCAAGTTGGACAAGATCTATTGCGGCAACTGCTACGACGCCCAATTCGCCAGCCGTTGCGATGGATGTGGTGAAATCTTCCGTGCTGGTATGTAATCTTTTTAACGTTGTATAGCCAATTTCGATATGAAAAAGCTTTTAACACATCACAAGACTTTGTAGCTGCTTTTTCAAATATATTCATCAGATATTTATATCCGACGCGGATATTACATCCGCTTATATCTAGATATTTATAGTATGCACATGAACAATGGGAATATAAAGTTGTCATTTCTATTTAATTCTGTATAAAACGAATAAGCCATTGAAATTTCAAAAAACTTAAGATAATTGCATTTTTTATTCATTGCATTTTTTATCAAAATTTAATTATTTGAGAAAAATATTTTCTCTATTCTTGTGGATACTATTTGTAATTGTTGTAATGACAGTTTACAATCCATATAAAAACATATATTGTTCCTGTTTCTCTCTCTTTTTTTCATCTCTTAAGTAAAAGTAGGAAAAATAGAAAGTTGAAATACGCGTGTTCCAGAAACCTGAATATGTTTATGGATTTTATGACTCGCTAATAATCTGCAATTTATTGCATTGTAAAAAATTTATAGCGTCATTAAATTCTAACAAGATTGAGCATGCTTCCAAAAGGCGATAAGAATGCGAACGTATAAATATAATTAAATATATAAATATATAAATTAAACGAATAGTAGTAGTTGTAGGATTTAAACATAAAACATCACGTAAACAAAGCTTTGCACAAATTAAATAATCCGTATCAAAAAGAGTGTCAGTTTTATTTTCTATCGATTGTGCACTGTTTAAATAGCTAAGATAATCACGCAGTTATTTAATGCCTGATAATAAATATCTATTAACTCTTGGCATCACTCGCTTGACACACTTTGCCACGTTACGCGATACTATAATAATAGATAAATGTATAATATGTGTATAACGACGTGTGCTTTTTAAAGATGTGTGCTTTAATACGACTCTGACAGTTTTTGTGTTAATTACATGCTATTAATGTGTACAAAGTTTCTATGTTGCAATTTGCAACATGTTTTGCACTTTATTAGCAAGAGAACTATGTAACTATTATCTCGGCATGTATAAGATGACATTTTTTTTTAAAAAAAGATCATATCGCACTCGATGTATATACTCGAATAAAACACATAAACTATTCAGGCTGAGAAAGGACAGGTAGGCCTGCGCAGACATCGAGCGACAAATTGTCTCAAGAATGTTTTTCTGTGAGAAATATAATGACGGTAAATATTTTTCTCTCGACGCCAATTTTATCGATCGTGTAATCGCCCCTTCGCTTTCCGAGCCGAAGACATGAAATTACGAGTGTTTCGACTACATGATATTTTGTCTACCACCTTACATTATCACTTATACTGAATTAGGCAATTTACGCTATAATTTACATTAAGAGTCGGAAATTATTATGATATACTCGGTTCTATCGACCCTTCGAAAAGGGGGGATACGCGACCCTTCGTCAACCTTCTTTCAGTCAGACGTGTCTCGACTCTCGCAAAGTGATGATCTGTATAAAGACTCGGCATTTTAGCTTGCATCGGATTCTTTTGCTCGCGATTGGCTTATGGCCTTGTCAGCGATCAAGGCTTGCTCAATTTCAACTAATTTTGTTTTTTGGTATCCTGATTAGTTTTATTATATGTCAGGTACGTTCATGTTTTTAATCGTATTTTTTTATTTATGCATAAGTATGTGTGTGTGTGTTTGTGCTGATTGTTGAAACTTTTAGATGTTATGAGTGTTATTGTCATATATTTATTGTTTTAATTGTTAATAATATATGATACAAATCATATATAATGTAATAATTATTAAAATTTTTTGTTTCATTATTATTCTTTATATATAATTAATCTTAGAAAAGCAGTTGATTGTATTATATATTTGCAGTTAATTAATGAAATAAAAAAGTAACTATTTTATTTTCTTAATAAATTTATTGATTGCAGTTTACAATAATTGTTACTGCAGAATTCACTCTTGATCTTGTCATTAACGTTCTCTCTGTAGGATTGTTTTTTATTATGTTGGCGATTACGTACAATTCTTTTGGGCTTAATTTTGCTGAGATGGTAAGTTAAGGAAATTTTATTTTTTTTAAACGAAATAAACATACTTGATATAAGTGAGTCTTTACGCACAACACTCCTTCCAAAAATTTACAACGAATTGTGCACTGAAGTATTATTGTGAGATGTAATAGGTAAAATATCCCTTGGAGGATCTTCAGCAGATTTGTAACGGATTAAAAGATGAAAAAGAAATTGCTATTATGAAAAAGTACGGGGACAATTTGAAACGTTATACTCTTACTATTACGTGTAAGTCAGCACATACAAACACATAAATTGTTAAATTAGCTTAATTAACCATTTCATTACTTAATACAAGTATATTTGGCTGCCTGAATGATATATATTTTGTTTTAATTATTATATAAAAAAAAACATGCATAATAAAAGCTGTATTAATCAATATTCTATCAAAAATATGCAGCGAATCTAAGCAGTGAAATGGTTAGTAGTTTAAAAGTAATTGAAACCTATTTCTTATTTATTAAATATTTGTAGTATTTTATATATGCAGTCTAATTATTATTTTGCCAATTATTTCATTGCCAATCATATCGCGGATTTTTGGCTTTGCTCTGCATATAAATGAGTCTCAATCACGTCGTATATTATATAAATGTCTGCCTAAGTATTTAGTCGACCAAGAAAACTATTTATATTTAATTTCGCTGTACGCGGATGCATCAATATTTATTGGAGGGACTGCAATGGTTGCAACAGGAATGATGCTCATTGCGTATCTTAAACATGCTTGTGGAATGTTAAAAATTGCAAGGTAAGAAGTAAAAATATAGATATAAAGTGGTAAATGTAGGAATAAATAAACAAAAATTAAACAAAATATTGTTTGATGTTATTTCTTCTTTAAAATAGATTTGGTAATAATAGATTTAGAGGTGGAAAAAGAAATTTTGCTATTAGCAACATTGTTGCATATTCGATGCTGAAGTGATTAAACTTTATTTTTAGAGAATTATTCAATACTAAAGCAAAATGTGATTTGTTGGTATAATAAAAAGATTTTGTTTGTAAAAACATACAAATTTGCTGTTAAAGAAAAATAATCCATTTTTAGTAAATGCATTTTGCTTTGCAATAAAACTTGTTTCAATGACAGAATAAGAATTAATTATTTGTTCTGAAGTTTATGCAATTTAACACAAAATAACATGCGGTTTCAATAAAACTGTTTTTAGCAAATTAGTATTTTAACTGACGAAATTTTTATTACGGGAACATAAAATACATTGTATCACCAAATTTTTTTCTCTATATGAGAAATCAGTATAACTGCAGTAAAAATACTTTTTATAGTTATCGCATAGAGAAAGCAATAAATATGCAGAACAATGTTTGCCCAAAAAACGAAACTGCAATGTATAAAGGAATAATTTATGCCATAGATATTCATCGTATAGCTATGAAGTTAGTATTTCTTTAACAATAATTATATAAAATATATATAAATATAATATTTTTTTTTTGTTGAAGGTTCTCCACATTTTTATTTTCCTATCTTCATTTATCACATTTCTTTTTAATAATAGTCGGTGTGATTTGTTTGAGTCTGAATCTTTACGCAGTGAGTTTTTCTTGCGTTGTGAAATTTATTTCTGAACCAACGACATAGCATTTCGTAATCATTTTTATTAGGGGGGACAAAAAAAAACATTTTACAAAATCTCTGTATAAAGAGAGAGCAAAATAATGTATAAACCCAAGGAAAGAAAATTTTCGTGTTTATGTAAATAATTCTAGTTCTTTATCTATTTTCTCTGATATATATCAAGTGTTAATTGCGACATTGTGTTTTAGATATCTGAGATGGTGTTGCATGGAGGCAACGTCGACCAGTTTCTGCTTCATTTTCTAATTGTAACTGTCATTTTTTTATACTTATTTTTTGCTAACTATGCCGGTCAAGAACTTACGGATCACAATAACGACGTATTTTTCACCGTGTAAGAAATATATGATGCTCACAAAAAAAGCTTATGCCAGTAAATTGTTTACGGACTTGGGTCATTATCCGATATTTATTAATAAAAATTATCTGTCATGTTTCGTAAAAGGCATATACACATATGTTGAAAATTATTACACATTTTCTCTAATAATAGATTTATTACCTAACTATTGTCTTGTAGATACAATGTTCAATGGTACGCAGCACCTTTGCATATACAAAGGTTGATACTGTTTCTCTTGCAAAGGGGTAGCAAAGCTGTAAATCTGAATCTTGGCGGCGTGTCTGTATTATCTTTACAGTTTTTCGCCACGGTGAGAATATAATTATACGCGTTATATGAAATAATAATTATATAGAATTATACTAATAATTATATAATAATTATAAGTTACATTAAATAGTACGAATGTATAAACATCTCTACATAATACTTGACAGACAAACATAATGCAAGACATATTTGATTCCAGTTAACGAAGGCGTCGATATCCTACTTTACCGTTATGTATTCTACGCAGCAATAATGCAGATATAAGTCATCCGATAATATATGTATAATAGTAGCATAAGTAAATATAAAATGCAAATGCCCGATTTCTTTGCTGTTATAACAGCGCTAATATTGTTTTCTATGCATTGCACCGCTTGAATGATCGAAAAACAATCTCATATAGTTACTTAAAGAATGCGAACGTATAAATATAATTAAATATATAAATATATAAATACATTTAATATATTTAAATATATAAATATGCCATCTAATGAAGTGACCAACATGATATATATAATATAAACGATAAATACTTCGATTAACCAGCTATCAGTGTCGTCTTACGTCTGAATAATCACACATCATTAATTACATCATAAAATGCGAATAAACGTGAGAATAATATAATTCGTAAAGTGAGATAGAGATACGGAGAGTTAATAATCACGATAAAGAATAAAAGCTCGAGTTGGGAACGAATCTCCTAGTAATTTCCACCTACAATCTTCATCATTAACACCTGTTTTTGATCGATCATTGGCGAATCGTTCCCAGACAGTGATTCATGGTGTCAGGCACGGAGCACGGACGATCGAGAAAGAGAAAAGCAATATAGATCTTGCATTTGGTGTTTCTTATTAAGGTAACTGAGTCAAGGCTGCCCGAGACTCCAGACACAGGCCAATTATTGTAAGCCATTTTGAAATTGAGAACAAGTCATTCTTTTTATGTCTAATTCGCCAGTCCTTTATTAGCGACGTTAAATTGTTCTGCATAAACATCTTAATTAAATTGCAGCTACCTTTCTCTCTCTCGTTCTCAGAAATTTTATCCAACTAAGACTGCGCAATCTATGGCTTATATTATAATATGGCTCATATTGACACTTAAAAACTACTATAGGAAGCAACGATGAGTACCGTTGTTGTCTCCAAGACGACTGAATAAAGTAAATGTTGTTTCTATTCAAGATTAATATGACATAATCTCAATATTTAAGCGCTCAAAAGAGCGTAAACTTGCATATCTTGATACCGATAAGATAAAAGATGTGAGAAAAATTCCTTCTCTAAATAGATTCGACGCAATTTGAATATTTAAGCACTCAAAAAGATATAAACTTGAAGGTGAGATAAAAGAGATGAGAGAAATTTATCTTGAATTTAAAAGGAAGATTCAGCTTTTTTTTTAGAAAATGGAAAACTATGCTTTTGATATCAAGAGATATCGCAGGACAGTAATTTTTATTCCGATAAATTATTACTTATCTCGATTATTAAATACAAATTATTATTATATATACACTAAATTATTACTTATATAAATTATTAAAGAAACGCGCTCTGTGTGTATATTTTAAAGATAGTTTAAGATAATTATCAAGATTCGGCTTGTGCTACTTTCGCAACGTATCCGCTCGTTAGGAATAATTTGCGTGACACATTGGGAAAGGTCAGACGGCGTGGGAGTCGGAGCGAATCTCAATTTCACCCTTGGCAGATAAAAAGGAGCCGATATTAGAGCCGATCGAGGAATCGTTGGCGCGAATGATTCGGTGCCAGTACGTGTCCGGGACTCGACATATTGCAAACTACATATCAATCTCTGAAATCGCTTATAAAACGGGATCGGATTAATGATACCGCGAACATGCAATCTGCCCGATATTTCTCCTGTGTTCTCTGTCTCTGTCCTTCCTTTCTTTCTTCGATGGCGGTTGAAGAATTAAGGATCACATAAAACAAATTTTCCGAATTACCAAATGAAAAAATAACAAAAAAAGAGAAAGAAAAAACTCGTTAATCGTTTAGTAATTACAAAAGTCATTTTTCAAGATAAATCTGTGGACACACAGATTGTTTATCAAAATGCGGATAATAATCTATAGACAGTAAAACACTCAACTGATGATCGAGAAGAGATTTTCATATTAAAAATAAAATAATTATACATATATATTATGTAATTATTTTTACTTACAAAATTATTTCAATATGCTGTATTTTTTTTTTTTTGCAACTGTTTAATTATAAATATTTAAAAAAAAAAAGTAATCCATTTTCTTTTAAGATAAATTTCAATTTGGAATCATTATTTACTATTTTTATTATAATAGCTTAATCCACGAAAAATTTTTTCACACACACATTCAATCGTTTATTTATAATTCCAAGACTTTTAATACTGCATTAATATTTTAGTTGAAAAGAAAAAACTGATTTGAGATCAGGCAAAACCCATTGTTAAAATTGAGATCGTAATTCTGGGCAATCCTATATATGGTAACACGTCGCGTTAAGTGGATACAATTCCAATTCATAAATCAATCGATGATCAAAGTTGACAATATGCAGAATCCTTGAAAACTTGCAACTGATCGCGATAGAAATATTCTAATCAAGAACGAAAAATGCGTTATAGTTAATAATATTAGTCAACAAAACATTAGAAATATTTAAATACCATTATTTAATTTCCAATATTCTGTGTGTAAGTGAGATAGATTTTACCATATTAAGAATTACATATTAAAAAATACATATATACACTTGGCATAATCCGACAAGGTGTCGAAAGAATAAATCTCTCTTGACTGAAAAGGTGAATAGGTCAGAATCGAATTTCTAAATCATAAAACTTTTTCGATCAGTGCGGCTCCACGATCAAAATCTGGAGATGCGCATGCAGATATAATCCGCGGGCATAACCAGGGATGGTGTAGAATGCCTCTCTTGGTTGTATAGCGATCAAGTTATCGCACGGAAACACACGTTGCGCCTGCTCGCAACGGTGACTCCAGCGAGAACCGAAGAGCG